CCCCCCCAAGCACAGAGCCCCCATATGTCCTCCTTTGTCCTCCTTTTTTGGCTTTCTATGTCCTCCTTTTCGTACACGTGTATCTGGCAACCCTATACAGGAGTACTGAATCTTCATTATACCATGGCAACAAACTCTTTAATTCTCTGGAAGATTTCACTTTTATGTTTCATTATATAGATATAGCTATAATGTGAGTAATCATCTGTTATAGTTAAACAGAATCTATTTCCACCTTTTGTGGGTTGCAGTGGCCCCAAAATATCAAGATGAACCAGCTGAAAATTTTTTTCATTGATCCTATTACTTTTATTGCTCACTGGAAATGTCTTAGATTTGGTTAATTTATATACATTACAATCTAAATATTTCTCACAGTTTTTATATATTTAGATGAGACACACATTCTTCAGTTTTGTTTAAAACTCCAAAACTTACACAACCTAACTTTCTGGGTAGGCTGTGCATGCATTTTTCATGTGGCCATGAGTTGGTAACCACATTTGCAACTTTACTCACTTGACTCTGACTCATCACATATAGGTGATCATTTATATACTATGGCTTATGTATTTATTCATGAATATTTATAAACCAGTTACATTCCAAAGTTTGAAAGTATTATACAACAATACAACTGTAACATACAGAATAAACAAATATACAGTACCAACAATACACAAATGGTCAATACATGTATTAACATATAGCACGTATATAATCCATGAGATAGATTGTTGGATTGTATGGAGAAACCCTACTTCAAAATACGGTATGTTTAAAACTTGAAGTTGAAGGTTGCTGTCGAATCTCTGGGTAAAGGGGATTCCAGATGACTGTTGTGAATCAAAGTGCTTCTTGGTCCCAGAGTTTCTATAGGATTTTCTGGGATTGAGTCTGTGGTTGTCATATTATTACATTACATAATGTAACATTTTGAATTTAAGATGTGTGTCTGCCTCTCTGCCCTGCGATCAGAAGCATTTTGCCCTTATCTTATTTTCAGCAAAAGGAATAGCAAAATGATAATGATACCTGTGTGTTTTCCACAAAAACCTGTGTGTTTTGCACCAAAAAAGCCTATTTTCTGCAGACAAAAATTTACAAACAGAATACAAGGTTATCTGGAAAACACTGATTTTTTTCACACAAAAACACTTCTACTTTTTCCCCACAAAAAATAGACAAAAACTCCCAGCATCCCAGTGCAGAGATTTTTTTTTTTTGGCCCACATTTTTCCTTCTCAACTGCAAGAATGAAATATGAACATTTCCACCTGTACTTTGAAGATTATGTCTTGAAAGAAGAACATTTTCTCAACTTCTGATTTCAAAGCTAGGGTCTGGACTAGGCGATCCCTCGGTGTCATGATGCAAAGCTTTTCTTCTCTAAAAGGCCTTTGGAATGAGCCGATCCTTCTTGTTATTACTTTTTTGCAATTAACTCTGTTCCTTTTTTGTTGATTATGGTTACTTTTACTCTTTTAGACTATTGAGCTTATCTGATTGTCCATTTACTCTAATTTTCCTTTATTGCTCTGTAGTTTAATCCTTATTAATCTAATTATTTCTTTCAAGCCACTTGGAGTGGAGTGGCT